CAGGCCCCTCCTCAGAACTTTTGACTCAGAATCTGCACTTTTAACATGATTACCTGTGATTTCATAGGAGAAGCACTGCTATAAATCATATAAATTTCACTTTTCTGTCCTCCAATGGATAAAACTCCTCAACTTGTTGATCAAAACCCGACCTCACAGTATACTCAAGTTTCTAGCAGTTGGTCCTTTGTAGAACTAGGAAGAGCCAGAGTGAAGTCAGCTGCTAGGACTTGATCTCTCTCTCTCTCTCTCTCTCTCTCTCTCTCTCTCTCTCTGTCTTTGTCTCTTTATCTCCCTCTCTCCCCACTCTTCTCTTTGTTCTTTCCCCTTGCTTTCATGATAAAATCATGTTATACAGAGGAGCAGCACAGCGTCAAATTTTCTATGCTAATTTACATTTTTTAATGTTAAAGAACCATCAGCCAAAGCTAGCTAAAGCAAAATAGTTATCCTCTTTTATTGCTCTTTTATTCTGCCTCTTTACTTTCTATGTGACCTCCTCACTCTTCCTTGTGCATCTCCTAGAAGGCAGAATAACTAAATATTTACTGAGTATCTGGCATCTGCAGGCACAGAAAGTCAGTTTTCCTCATTTAATCTTTATACCAACTAGATATACAGCCATAGGAATGGGGGCATGGAATCATGCTCAGTCAGTCCTCATGAACACATTCTCCAAACGTAGTACTTTTTCAACGACATTCTAAAAGTTTATTATTGTCACAACTATGAGTTAGAACATGAAGAAAATATGTTAGAAAAATAAAGAATAAAAGGGAAATGGTGAGACCCCAAGAGAAAACTGTCATAAAATGCGGCCATTTCTTCATGATTACCTTCCATTCTGAACAACATCCCAAAGTCTGGCCCAAGCCATTCTCCTTCAATCTCTAGCATTTTAAAAGCCAGCTATATCTCTGATAACAAACCTAAGCATCTGGGTTTTTAAATTATTTCTTTATTTTATTGTACAGGACACTGGGGCTCTGATAGATTTCGCCTTTGTCCACAGTAACAGAGACATTCAGCTTTTCTGATTCTACATAGTGCTTTCCATTCTATCAGTAGCATCTCAGCACCAGGGCCACCCCTGCTTTACATCCCAAAGACTGGAAGCCTGAGGCTTATATGGCCACAGGTATCTTAGATGTGTATTAGATGCCACTAAAGAGAAGTATTTCACAGAATTTGGATGGACATAACTGGGATTACTGAGTGTCCTGTGTCTGCAACTCCATGACTCCATGAAAGTGAACAGAAAAACACGAGAGCCAGCAAGTCTTCTCTGACCTGTTTGTCGAATACTCCCAAATGTTTTGTATGCACCTAAATCCTTATATTAAATTATTTCCTGTTCACATGCCTAGAATAGTTTCTATTTTTTTCACCCAGCCCTCACTAAGACAACCATATAGCCATTCACTCCTATACTCAAGCTAACATTGTATGCGTACATCTTTCCATATAAACATATTTCATTAACAAAAATTTCCTTATTTGTCAACTTCACCTTTACAAACTGAATTGTTTTCATGGCAGAGGTCATAACATAATCTGTTATCACTGTTTCTGGCACATCATGATGCCAATTAGCTGAATAATTGCTGAATAACTAGCAGTTGTCTGAAGGAACTAAGCTCAAGACCCTTTCTAATATTTCTTTCCTAAACATCATCTATCTACTCCTGTGACTGTTTCAAGAAATATAAATTCAGAACGGGATCACTGGGATCAGAATATTTTTAAGCACTGAAACTCTAAGGTCTTAAGAGATTAAAGGGCAGGGTGGGAAATACGTGAGGAATTCCAGGAAAGCTTTTGTGTGAAAGCTACTAGAACATCAAGGGATACATTTCTAGGGAATAGCTTCTGTTGTGATTCCTTAAAAGTTGTCTTTGAGGAGACTAAGGGATCCTGATAGTCTCATTGAATGTCTTCTTTTATACCCATAACTCAGTTCTGATTCTACATCTGTTTCCTTTCTCTCCTAACTGTGCTTAGTTTTATAGACGTTTCATTATTCTTGCTGATTCACACCCAAACCTCATGGTTTATTCTCTTGTGGAAGATAATAATCAGAGATATCCACTTATATTTTTATACATTTTATAAGCATACATTTAAAAAGTTTTCCTTTATGTTTCTGCCAACTCTATCCCAAATAGAGAGATGACTGCATATTCATATCCTCGGGAAGAATATAGTCTCTGATCACCAGGCAGACAGTCTCTGATCATCATGGACTTTGCTTTATAAAGGTCATATGGGTAAAAGTTGTTGGGTGGCAGAATTAATCACTTATCGTCAAAGAAGGGATAGCTGTGTTGTGGATCTAGGTAGGAAGGACTGCTGACAGACTTGCAAAGTTTGTGTGTCTAAGCATGGCACAGAACAAGCTGAGAGGCAGGTGCCTAAAGGGCCATGCTAGCCAGGTGCTGACCATCTCATGAATGCCTATGTGGATAAATAACTTGATAATCAGAGGAAGTCTCCCACCAAAGCCTTATAACCTGTTAGATAATTCTAGAGTCCAAAACCTTAGCATATCCTGAAACAAAATTAGAGTGGATTTCCCTCCAGCCTGATGAAATGGGCTCTCTTGAATGAGAAATAAAGTCAATTTATGGCCGTAAAAATTATGTTTTATACATACCGAATTTTTGGATTGTGATTCACATCTGCTACAAAATCAAGAACTCAGACTGTTACTGAAGGAGATGTTCTATGCCCTAATTCTCAGTCAAAAGCTACCTTATTATGGGCTTTCCAACAATTCACTTCAGTTGGAAGCAAAGAATGACTTCATCCTTGTCTGGCTATATCTTGACCAGCACTGGAAGGGAATAACCAAGGAAAAAGCAATAGTTGGAGCAACAGAGGGCCTCTTGGTTTAAGTAGAATAAACATCAACACAAGTTAAAATCCGTGATAGGGGAAAAAGAATCGAGTCAAACTTTTGCAATCAGTTAGCCAAGGAACTGTCAATTCAGAATCAGAAGGGTTTACAAGCTGCTTATGAGCATGCTGCTTATCACTCAGATAGTGCTTGTTATACACCAAGCCCCATTCTAAATGATTTAACCCATACAACCCTTACCACAGACCGATGAGGCATATTATATTATTAGTCCCATTATATGGATGAAGACATGATGGCCCATGGGAGTCTTGGGACCCGTTCAAGGTCATATCTATGGTAAGAGGCAGTTCTGAAATTTGAACTTAGTCAGTGTAGCTACAGAGTTCAGCTTGACCACCACACAATGCTGCCTTTGCCCACGAAAAAAACCTACAAATTTCTGAATGGTATAACCTCCCAATGAAGAGACTATCAGGTCCACACCTTTTATTTTAAAGATGAGGGAACAGCAGCAAAGAAGGTAAAGAGATTTGCTCAGGGTCATGTAGCTCAACACATCACTCATCTTTGTTTTATGTTAAATGATATTCATTGTCAATCAAATTAATCACTTTGTTATTAATATTTCCCAAGAGGCAAATCAAAAGTTTTAAATCCAGCCTTTTATGGCCTTCCAGGAATTTTACCTAAAATGCTCTTAAACTGACATGGGATGGGATGCCAAGTGGTCTCAGAGGCCAGAAAAAGCACCTTGATGGTTAATCCCCTGGGTGTCTGGGACACAAGGCTGTGCCAGGAAACCACTTAACAGAAGAGCAGGCAAGAAATCAGGGAAAGGGAACCCAGAGGACTTCAGTGTAGTCATTTAGGAATAAGGGAATTTGATGCGGAGCAGGTTTCCTCTACTCTAATGAAACACCTAGAATTAGAAACCTGTATTTTGTAAAGGTGATCTTTATGTTGCCTGATTTATGAAATATCAATTTCAAAACAAGGTTTGGAAAATTCCTCTCCCTACAAAAAGCAAAGGGGTCATTTTGATTCTCCCTTGCCTTTTAGCAAGGACTAGCATATAACTGTACTGACTCATTGACATGTCCAAAGTCCATGTGACAAAGTACTGTTAAAGAAAATAAGACCCACTGCTGTCTCCTAAAGAATTATTTAATTGTGAGCCAAATACATATATTTTTAAATCCATCATGGGGACAAGATATTGCAACGAGAAAGCTGTATTATTTAGATCACTGGACATTTAGTGACCTCTCATCTTAATCCTTCCTGCTCTGGTTGCACTGACATGTCCTGTCATTGACAAGCTCAGACTTGCCTTATAACAACCACTGTTGTTATCTGAAGGCTGAATAGATAATATTAAAAAAAAAGTCACTTACTTGTTTCTAACCTTTTCAACCCTTATTTCAATTTTCATCCTAAGAATACTCTGACTGCAGAAAAAGAAACACATGATGATGAAAATGATGCATCTGCCAACTTACAAAAAGATATCTTAAAAGTGAAAATAGAGGTAAGAAAGTAATTGAACCTGTGCTGAGAGGCTATTGACAAAGCCCAAAGAAACAAAGAAATATGAGAGTTAACTTGGGCAACAATAACACACACTAAAACTCTTGCTACCAGAACCCTGAGTTGTTTTAAGTTAATGGCGGGAAGAAAGTGCTGTATACCTGAAACATAATCACTGCTGTCATTGTCAAGGTCCTATTTATTAAGTTAGAGAAACGTAACAGATTTGGAAATTAAAGCAGATAGAAGAAACACATTTTTAATTTTTAAAATATGTACTGAAATTCTAATGTTCTCTCTAATAAATACATTGTTTCAATTTGGATGTATGCCTACAAAGCTATAGATTTGTTGCACTTGCCCAGAAGACACTAGAGGGGAGACATCAAGTCATGATCAACCCAATCGGATCGAATCTCTTTTCATTTTCCTTGAAGGAGCCTGGTTCTGGGGATTTTTCCTAACCAGGCAAACAACTAACTTCATTATGGCTTCTAGACAAACCATGCAATGAACAATATAGCAAAATGGAGGCAGTGACCAAATCAACCCTGGCCTTTAAGGTTTTCCAATACCTTCCACTCAGGCAAAGACAAATTCGGCAGGTACTTACCGCATTGAAATTGGGGAACAGGTTGACTGCAGCTGCAGTGTCAAGAGGAAAAGGAAGAAATGGTTTAATATCCAGCGATGGTTGCAGAGGAGGGGCTGGTGGACGGACAAGGGCCGGGAGAGCAGGACTCTGGCATGTACCACCTGTGAAGACCAGAGCAAAGGGAGCAATCAGGGACACCACCATGGAAAAAAACACCAAAGTTGCTTTTGAGACAAAAAGGCCAGCTTTGTGGGTCACTGGAAAAAACAAGACATGGACTCTATTGACCTCAACTGGGAACTGGCCAATGAGCAAATTTGCCATTAGGCAGAGCGAGCTAGTTGAACTGCTCCGTTTTCCTTTGATTATAACTATCTGGTTATGTAAGTAACATCAACATTTCAAATGCCCCAACCTGTCTTTATTTTCCTGCCTAGAGCTCCAGATTGGGTCAGTCACAAATTTGCAACCAAGATCTCTGAATTCAAAGGGAAGACCCCTTCATCATGTGCCCATCCCTCTTTGAAAACTAAAGCACTCACAATATGCATTAAGTCTGAGTGATTATTTTACAGAACTGCTCTTTGCTACCACATCCAAAACTCTGGCAGCAGCATGACATGAACCTGGCACATACAAGAAATTTAACCTCAAACTCAGGCAGCTGTACCTTACTGCTCTAGCAACTGGAGGATTAAAAACCAGCAAAACCAGTGCTACGATATCTGAACTGTTCAGCACCCCTACAGCTCTGATTATTCAACAACTCCCTGCCTTCCTCCCAGTCAGGAGTAGGTGGAATTTAGATGGCCACTGTTGAGCAGGCAGTGGGAATATTATGCCAACAAAGACATCCCCTTTGCATGCCAGTAAGTAGCCAGCCTTTTGCAAGAGAGCACATACCTTTGCCCCCTGTTATAGGACTCCACCACACTCAGGAGCTGGAAGGATGGAAACCCATCTTTAGTGTTCAGTCTCCCATATTTTGGTAACATTCCAAAACATCAATTTGCTGTTCATTAAAGGCTGTTTGAATCCTAGGAAACTGTTAAAATATGCCAGGATTCTTCTAATCTGAGAGGCAAGCAACAGACTGTAAAAACCTGCTGGTGAGAATCCAACAAGCATTAGGAAAACAAAATGCAATGGGCTATTTTTCTGTCTAACAGTAAAGAATTCTAGGAGACATGCTTGTGCCACTTGCCTGCCATCTCATTTTTAAAAACAAGGTAGAGTCAGTCTCCTCGTATAAATTGCCTTTACAAATTTCACAACAAACTCTCTGGCCAGCTGCACACAGAACATCATCTTGCCCTCAATCAGTTACCTGAGCACAAAATTAACATTCTGAAAATGATTCCCCAATGATAAATCCAACCCTATGGGGCCACAGAGGATCTGCTAACAAGCTAGATGACTTAGTACCTATAACAGAAGCCATCAGCACAGGATTTAATTAACCATACACAAGAACCATCAGCTCTCCTGCTCCCAGGTATAAAATCAGCTGGAGCCAAATTAAGAAAAACCGTATTTCCCCCCACTGTCTTACCTTCTTTCTTGAAATAATAATAGCATGGCCAACAATAGCAAAGTCAATAACTGAAGTCTATAATCAGTAAACTAATTTGCAAAGTAGCACAAGGCACTAAATAAAGGGCAGATGTCAAAACAAATAGAGATAACAATGAAATATAACAAGTCTACATTCACCAGAGCACACTATAAACTTAGTTTATTGTCCACTTGGTAGTGTATTGAGTGTGAGTGTGTAACCATTTTTAGAGAGGGCATCCGTAAAACTTTGGTGATAGACGTGTCATGAGTTTAGTGTTGTTAAAAGTTTCTCTTTTAATAAAAAGTTTAAAACCCAAAATAACTTTTTAGATGGTGCATCTTTAAAAAACTCAGAAGTAAGGTCGGGTGTGGTGGCTCATGCCTGTAATCCCAGCACTTTGGGAGGTCAAGGCGGATGGATCACTTGAGGTCAGGAGTTTGAGACCAGCCTGGCTAACATGGAGAAACTCCATCTTTACTAAAAATACAAAAATTAGCCAAACGTGGGGTGCACACCTGTAATTCCAGCTACTTGGGAGGCTGAGGCAGAAGAATCACTTGAACCCAGGAGGCAGAGGTTGCAGTGAGCTTAGATTGCACCACTGTACTTCAGCCTGGGCGACAGAGCAAGATTCTGTTTCAAAAACAAAAACTCAGAAGTAAAGTAAGCTTTGGTTGAAATCAGTGATGTGGTGAAATTTAAGAAGTAATTTTAAATTACTTTTATTTTTGTTGTTATTCTTTTTGAGACAGGATCTCACTCTATTGCCCAGGCTGGAGTGCTGTGGCACCATTATGGCTCACTGCAGCCTCAATCCCCTGGGCTTAGCTGATCCTCTCATCTCAGCCTCCCGAGTATCTGGCACTACAGGCGCATGCCACCATGCCCACCTAGTTTTTGTATTTTTAGTAGAGATGGGTTTTTGCCATGTTGGCCAGGCTGGTCTCAAACTCCTGAGCTCAAGCAGTCCACCCACCACGGCCTCCCAAAGTGCTGGAATTATAGGTGTGAGCCGCCATGCCCAGCCCTAAATTACTTTCATTTGTGTCACACATCATTCTTTGCAAAGGATATTCATTTACATTCACTTGGTTTGATTCTAAGATTTCAGAAATTAGGTAAGGGTTAACAACATAACATCACGTAGAGAAAAAAAAAAACATGTTGATAAACTCTTCAGTCGTTTATCTTGCTTCCGCAGAAAATTCCATGCTTATAATAACAAGGATGCAATTTAGCAAGAAAATATTCTACAATTGTTTCATTTTAAGTCCTCCTCTGGTTTAGGGTATCCAAAGAAGTGAAGGAATAGCTCGAGCTGATTTTTTATCTAGCACAATGAGAGACATAAATAATAAAAATATGTCCGTTCAATTATCAGGTAAATTTAATTTCCCATTCTCTCTTTTAGGATATCTATTTCATTTATACTTGTATAAACAGTTCAAGGTCCTCTCTTAGTGGTGCAACTAGAGTTTCCTTCCTAGGGGATTTAAAAAAACCATCAAAGAAGAGTCATAAAAACCTTAGAAAGTTCGAAAAAATATTTAAGCTCATCTCTTCTCACCTGTTAGAAAGGAGCAATGTATAAGATTGTAGGAAAGCAGAGGACATGTGGCTACATATTTTTAGACTATTTGCTATGCAAATACGGGTGTAGGGGTTGCTGTGGGTCTGATTCCCAGAGCCCCTTTCAGCACCAAGGCACTCCTCTCAGTTGCTTGGAGTGCTGGTAGCTGATGTCCCTAGCCCAAGAGCCTCTTTACAAATTGCCCTGGGCCAAAGGGAGCTGCCTCACCTAAGGTGACCCTCCTAAGTGGAGGATTTGATAGCCTCAAGCAATCACTGATTCATGCAGGAGTCTACTGGCTTTGCCCACTTGTCTCAAAGCAGGAAAACTCTGAAGCTCTATTTTACCTCCAAAGTTGCTAATGGCATTAGGGTAGGCTGAGGCCTCTGCTGTGACTACATCACAGTCCAGCTCCTTCCTCTTCCCAATCCTGTATCCCTCACTTCTCACAAATGATGTTTCCATGAGCACTCCCCAGTAAAGTCTCAGAGCTCACTTTAGGAATAACTTGATCTGTGACACCAGGATACAGCAATTCAGGTGTTTAAGTAAAATATAAAATTGCTTTATTCTAAAATAGATGCTTGCCTCCAAACCTATAGCACTGATATTGAGGCACGAAATTGAAGCTACCTCTTCAAAATTATCTGTGACTAACATTTCTGCTTTTGAAATCTGGATTAGTCCTAAAATATTTTACTTGTACCAATCTGTACTTGCTCAGCAACAAGAATACTGTTTGCAAATAGTGCAAAATCAAAACTGGCACATATAATATGTTTCATCTGTAAAGCAAACTAAAATACTCTCTTTGAGAAAATAGCTATTTCATTTCCCCATATTTAAATAGAAATGATTGCATTTAAGATATGAATACACGTTTATTATTTTACTTATCATAAAATTACCTTGATAACTATAAACATGAAAATATATAATAAATTCATAGACATTTCTATAGGTGAGGAAGTTTTGTCGTTAATGTTTACCAATAATGTCACTTTATTCATTGGAATGTCACACTTCTGGAAATATTAATATTCTTAATTTGAGGCAGGTCTTTTAAAGCCTCAATGGATTAGGGTCAGAAAAATATACAAACTCTGTCTATATCTAGTACCACATATTTCATAGCCTATGCTATTTTATTACACAGTTTTAACAAATTAGTCTGATTTCAGAGAAGATACTATCTCTCTATACCAAAATTTGTTACATGACATTAAAGTCAACAAATGACAAAAACGTTTATTAGTACAAGAATAGTAATTAGTACTGAATAAGGTATTGAATAATTAAGGTAAATTAAGTGATCATTAATGTTCACAAAATTCTTCTCCCTCCTCTTTTGATGTTTTCGTTAGTATATGTTTAGAATTTAAGTTGCAAATAGTGAACTACAGAATAAACATAATAAATATTGCTTTGGTCAATTTATAAGAGCTGCATATTCATAAAAATACTAACTTCTGAATTTGAAAAAAAAAAAAACAGAGTAACTAATTCCTAAGTATTTGTTAATAGAGACTGAGAAAGTAAGATACATTCATTTCAGAAGTTTGCATTTTTGAAAAGCAAATTAATATGTAAATTTAGACATGTTTATTTTGATAACTCATACCGATAAATAGGAACTCTAAACCAGTGGTTGTCAGTTGAAACTTATTGTATTAGATAATATATATAAAGTGCCCTAACACAGTTCCTGACCAATTGGTGCTCACCACATGAGAAATATATTTTTTAATGAACCAAAGAACTTCCAAAGCAGCTACTGAGGCTTTCTGAAAGCAGTCAGTCAAGGTAATTTCAAAGCTACCTTCATTTTTTTCTCTTCGCTTATCTTGACTGCCTCAGAAGAATGATCACAATAAGAGAGTACTTTGTAAATTAATATATGGAAATACTCCATGAGAGTGAGGTGGTGTTCTTTCCATAATACAACTCTTTTAACCTTGAACTTCTGCACTCGATCCATTCAGTGTTCGTCAGTCATAGATATCCTGCCTGACAACTCCATCTTAATCTTAACC